TTGCCCCGATTACTGCAAAACTTTTCCAAGACTCTTCAGACAATTATACTTCCCCTCCCCTCCCTTCACTCGCCCTTTCATGCGATCGTGAGGTGTTTCCAAGGGATAAAGAAATTTTGGCGATCTTTAAATTTAAGGGGATTAATTGTGTGGACTAAAGTACGCTCCGCCCAAGCCTCTTAATTTTCTTGGTAGTATTTCCACGAAATTCCCCCGATTACTGCAAAACGTTTCCAAAACTATTCAAACAATTATACTTCCCCTCCCCTCCCTTCACTCGCTATTGTATTAAAAAAATAATAAAAATTTAAAAAATAAAGAAAAAACCGCCAGTCGAGTAATGATATGCAAATTTTGGTGTCAAACTATTGGTAGAAAAAAGATGAAGGGAGTAAGTTTCTAAAGAAACTATGGTGCTGCGTCAGTGGGAGAATATAACAGGGTAATAGGTATTATCAAATGAGTTGAAGACGTAAATTGGCCACCGTTAAGGGTTTCAAAGTGTTAGCCCTTCGTCAGAGTGAATGGCGAAGGTCTACACGTCAGCTCTACACGTCAGCTTTTAAACTCTTTACGGTGGCCAATTCACGTCGTTAACTCAGTTGCTAACACTAATTACCCTTTTATTAGGAAGACCTAAAGGTTTGTTAGGAATGTTGGAGGTGGGTTCTTCGGCTCTTCTGCTATTTTACTTGATTATCAATTCTTACATTTAATTTTAGTGTTCTGGGCCATACTTTTTCTTTTCCGTTTAGACTTCACAAAGTATTTTAATGGCAAGCTTGACGACGAGACAAAATACGCTGTTTTTCAACGTTCCCTTATTACATATAATACGAATCAAGAAGACGAAGTCAATCAAAAGCTTTTAGGACCATAAAAATTTGATCGTTTGCATAGGAAATCACATGATTTCGAGTGCGATTTGGAATAAATAAGCAGTAAATTTTTTCAAAAACTAACAAAATTGCACAAGCCCGTGGGGCGAGTGCAATTTGTGGTCTTTTAAAATATTCACAAGTGCTTATTTATTTCAAACTGCAGGAGAAAAATATGTGATTATGTATTATTAATACGCATAAAAAAAAATATGAGATAGCTTATCATAATTACGCGGAAGCAAAGCGCGCGCGTCAGGTGCAAAAATAATTTATTCAAACCTGTGCATTCGGTCAAAACAACCGCGTACGATCAAAACAGTAATATACAATGATATTATCACATCTATAAGGCGCAAAAAAGTTCAAAGTCCGGCTAAACAGTTCAAGCAATTGCTCAGTCTGTGTCCGAATCACTTTCGATGGAGTGGAATCGTCGTTTGCGAGGTTTAACCATGTTTGCTTTAAATTTCGGCTTAGAATCGCTCGAGCAAAGTGTTAAGCGGGATCCTTGACAATTCCCTTCTCTAAACACCACTTTTTCCAAATCGATAACCAAGTTGACGAGTTGCAAAGAGTGAATAAAAATCCGTTCAAAGCACTTTCTATGCAGTAACTGGTTTATTAGGTATGTATGACGAGAATTAAAAACATATGCTTGAAATCAGTTTTATTTTCCCGATATCACAAGCTTACATACAGATCAGCAAAATTTTTAAAGATCTTATCTAAGTAAGCGAGCGTAATAAGAATAAAATCCAGTTTACAGTCTGGCAACGAGTAGACAAGGAGCCTAAACAAGCTTAAATATCACTTCACGTTCAGAGTAATTGAAAAATACGGGAGAATTCGCAAACAAAAAATTGTAAATCTTTACGCTTATCGTGGGTAGCCTCCATCATTCACCACGTGCTTATAATGGTTATCATGTCTGAGTGTGCCCAGGAAGCCGTAAAATCTCATCCTTTATTGTAAACGCCTTTTTAAGTGTCAAATATTTTTTCGAAATCGATAGTCATTGACCTCAAACTTTTTAGTACACACTCAAAGAAGTGTTTTACGTGCGGATCCCGAGATCAATTATCATACTGACTAATTAAAAAGAGTCAGTGGGATAAAAATTATCACTTAAGTACGAAATTAAATTCGGAGCGTTAGAGGTCAAGAGAGAAAGCAATTGCCACCCGAGTGATCAGTAGTTAGAGCAATCAGCGAGCTTCTCAGGTACCAAGTTGCACAACAAGCTATACGATAGGTGCAAGACTGCTCAGCACATGGACGCCACTTCTCGTGCCCCTGACGGCTCTGCAAAAGTTCAAAGTTACTCTCGTTTAATTCTCTCATTTGTTTTTGTTTTGGTTTGTATTTCATGTTTGGTATTTTGTGTTTTTTTGGGTGGTGTGTGTTTTGTGTTTGTTTCAGTTTTATTTATTTTTTACTCATTTAGCCATCTCATGTGTCCCCCCGTTCATAAGTATAAAGAGGGCGGAGGGGAGGGAGGCGTGAGGTGTACGCACCACACCCCAAAGAAAAAAAGGTCAGTAGGGCATAAATGTAAGTAAGACACTAATTCATTTCTGTTCACCATCCTTATCTTGCCTTAACACTTTTAACGATTACTTACCTCAGAACCTCTTCCTGTGAGAGTTAATCCACAAGCTTCCCTAATAATAAGGAAAAAAAGAAAGAAAGAAAGAAAAAAAGGAAGTGAATAGGGACACTTGGGAACGCAATGCCCGGACCATACCACGTGATTATAGAATTCACTGTTTGGATTCCTGGCCTTTATTGACGTCCGTATCAGTTCTAGTATGGATGTTGAATCCACTGAGCTCTACCATGCCATTATATGATTTTGCATCTTTCGAAGGCCATACTGGTGAAAATTTATTGAGTTTTTTCCTCTAACTTTGCAGCCCGGGTTGTTCGGATAAGAGTCGGGTCAGGCTGAAATATCGAAGTTATTGTACAAAAGAGGTATTGCTGACAAGTGCTTTTATGTGAATTCATTTCTGTTTCATTTGTAACATCGCAAAGATCATGTTATCTAATTTATTAAGTTCTATCAAAGCCCAATCGGTTGGCAAACTGATCTGATAACCTGTCCGGTCATAACTGCTCCTTGAAAATCTTTCTTCCCTGAAGGAAAATAAAGTAAACAACTTTAGGTGCATAAGGTTCATTTAAGACCACGTATGACCATTTACGACTATTTCATATACAGCTGTTGCGAGAAAGGTCATGTGTTTGAAAAAACAGGAGTGCAAGGGACAATCTCGAAAGGAAATCTGGGTATCCGGTAATAAGTCAATAAGTCAAATAAGTATGTAAATTCATCCAAAAACAGTAATGTCTCGTACTTACAGCGATGTTTACTCAGATCTCCCTGAAATCCCGAGGACCAGGAACCGTGACTTGTAAATTACCGACAATGCCTCTCAGGTTTGTCGCTTGGACTTAAAGATTTTTTTGCAACAAATTTTCTCAAAATATCTGTGTATGCATTTGTGACTGTCAAAACTACGGGGGAATTCGTTTAAAGGTAAAGCGTGACAAAGATGATTTGAAGAAACCTTCCAAAATACTGGAATGAGTTTACTCCTATTCACCACGCTGACAATAATGAAAAAACCTTTATACGGTATTAATTGATTTCTTATTTGGGCTACCCATAAAATACGCACTCATGTAGTCTACATGTGTATAATTATTTCATTTTCTCACAAAACCTCTTCCAATGAAGAAATCTTTCTGGTGGGTTATTTCGTTTTCTTATAATCTCAGAGAAAGGTCGGAAGTAGATTATGCTCACACTTATTTTTTTTCATCTGTAAGAATTTTAGTCAGATCTGCAGATTACAGGAAAGCAGTGTAACATCATAGAAAAATTCCTTTGCAGTGACGGCTTCGATCAGTTTCCCGCACCTTACACGAAATAAAGATGAATTACCTTGCTGTAAACACGGTGTTCATATGATTATTACGAAGTGACGTTCTGCTGCCCACAGTAAGTTGTTACCTTTCTTCTCTTCAAGCGTACATGTCTTTCTTCTTCTGCTGTAGCCACTGGATCGCTAAGTACTGTCATATAATCAGCTTATTTGAAGACAACTTCCAAACGCCTGTGTTTCTTTTAACAATCTTGAAGCGTGTTCAGTGTCATAATTTCATTACCTTTCTTTCAAGCAAATAAAAAGTACGTCGTGATATGTTTTCTAAGGTATAATCCACCCACATAAATAAACATAAACAGAAAACAAGAATGTTTTGCCGCACTGAAATACATCACGCAACATGGAGTATTATTTTTGAAAAGTGTACTTACCTCAGATCGGTGGAAATTTCGTTACAACCTAGTTATGCAGACAGTGAGGTGTTAAGAAATCAGACGACATTAGAACATTGCAAAGCATGTTTAACAACAATATCAACCCGTTAACGTTCTTGATCCTGGTTAATCAAAAACATGTTTGATTGGAATTAAAGAATCCTTGAATTCGCACTTTAAGGTGTCCTCATCTACGACCACAAGGAGTCTTAAAGCGAGAATCTTCAGATGTCTAAAGTGTGCACTTTAAGCAGCCTTAAAATACACACTTTTAAGTGTCTTAGGGTGAGCAACTCAAAGAGCATTGAGGTGTGCACTCTTTAAAGCCTAAAATAGCGCACTTGAAAATGTCTTTAAGTGCACTCATTACAGGAAACGGAACGCCCCCGAGCCTGATTTAAGGTTCATTACACTTAAAAGAAACCTTCACTTTGAAGTTCAAGATGTCTTTTAAGAGTCTCGAAGTTTGTACTCTAAAATGTCTTTAAAGTACGCACCACAATTTTTTTCTTCTATAAAGCGCGCTGTAAGTTATCATATAGTGCGCATTTTAGAAAGTTTTTCATTCAAACTCTTTTAAGTACATTTCACTTAAATGAGTCTTGAAGTGCACACTCTTTGGAATCTTGGGAAGAGGGGACTTCAAAGAGTCGTGAAGTGGCACTTGCGGAAGGTTTTAGAGTGAGCACTTTTATAAGAGTAAAAGCACACTCTCTAATTTTCTTCGATAGCTTAAAAGCCGTGTGAACTTGAAGTAGCACTAGCGTAGAAATATATCGAAGTCTTCCATTCAGTTAAAATTTCAAACGAGACGAGTCAAAATGCTTTGTCATTGATAACATTACAAATGCTATGAAATAATACTTTTTGGACCACTTACATCCACCTTTGGTTGCAGAAGATTTGGACACACTTAGGGGACCTTCCCCCTTTGCAGTTGAAAGCGAAACTTGGAATGAATACTCAGTAGATTCCTTAAGACCAGAAACAACTTCTTGATATGTATTCTGAACATTGACTGGCGTTACAACCTTGGTATACACCTTGCCATCGGAGTTTGCGTAGTAAATGGTGTATCTGGTCGGAATCCCGTATATGGATTCTTCAGGAACCGCCAACCATTCAATTTGTATGCTAGTGCTGTTCAGTGTTTGTACAGACACTAATTCAGGAGCCGCAGAAGGCACTGTAGCAAAGACAAGATATCCAATATTATTTTTTTTCTCGCATCTATTATGGGTAATAACCGGAAAAGCTTTCAGGCTAATGAGTGATAAATTGATTCCTTAACAGGAGAAAAGGGGAGCTTTTATCAACACAAGCTACATAGCGAATGCAAAAGTTGTTGCACTCACCCCGATTTCTCCGGCATCAAACTACAAGGAGTATTGCTTCTTCTGAGGAGGAAATGCGGGCTTATCGCAGGTTACTACCCTTTCTCAAAAGCTAATTTCACTAATCTCGGTGGGGGTTCGAATAACGAAAACTTGTTCACCGCCACTGCGTCTCTCTTTATAAACCGCAAGGCAAAAGGCAAATTCCACACTTCGTTCATTCTTTGTTACAGACTGTTAAACACCTCACAAATGATAACTAATCCATCATTGCTATTTGAGGTCCTGAAAAATCACAATTTTAAGGGCATGGAGCTATTTTGGTATTCTGGACACCTCCACCATCGATTATTGCAGAAATGTCGCATTTAATGACTGATACTGAATTTCCTGACCCCAATTCGTATGATAACTCGACCTATAGCAAATATAGATTTATAAATTATAGAATATTCAGTTTTTTTTCCACAGTTCTGGCCGCTGAGGGACTTACCGAATGCCTTTTTTACTTACCGTCTTCGTCTGTTTGGACTTTAATGGGATTACTTGCTGGTCCATTCCCTACACGGGTAGAAGCTGAAACCTTGATGTCGTAGAATGTGAACTTATTAAGCCTTCTTAACTCAACAAAGTTTCCAGATATTGGTGTAACTTTAACTGACTCGTAAGTCACATTTCCCATTTTTTTGTACATGACAGTATAGCGGATTATATCACCATGCTGTTTCTCCTCCAGCACCTCATTCCATGTAACATTAATGCTAGTCGAACTGGTGTTATAACCTTGTACATTCTGAGGAGGTGCACCGGGCCCTACGTAAAGACCAAGAGGTGGAAAATTAAAAACATTTGTCACCGAAGTGGCGATTAATGTCCAACACTATCTGGTGGTCAAAAATTAAACACCTGACTCGCGATTTTGTCTCTCTGGCTGCTAGGAGGTAAATCGTACTTGCTATCATATTGACTTGTGTGATATTCAACAAGAGATTTTAATCTGGTGAAATGCGTGAAATAGCACGCCTCTGATAGATTGATAGAGATAGCATTAAAGCATGTTCGATTTTGGTAAGAAAAATAGATTTTCTCAAGGTTTTGTAGCTAAGAAGCCATTACTATTGGCTTCGGTGTAGGTAAGTCCCGCCTGACAAAAATATTTTTCCACATACATGGTATCACTCCCCAATCGTACATCTCCCGCTGGATTTAACCAGTATGTGACTGTATTCATACGAAAACCGTTTTGCTCGGAAGTGGACCCGACCTGGTCTTTTTGATGTTGTCGCAACTTGTAATTATCAACAGAAAGCTATATCGCGTGAGTTTATTTTCAAAGGTCACATTATTGAAAAATACGGACTTACTGTCTTCGTTTGTTCTCAACGTCTTTGGGTTGCTGTAAATCCCGTCGCCCTTGATTGTGGAGGCCAACACACTGACGTTGTAATGCATATCCTTTGTTAGGCCGGTCAGGTTCACGTGCCTTGTTGGAGCCGTAACTAATTTCGAAAAAAAGGGCCCAGCAGATCCAGCTTCTGGTATCGCCCGATAGCTGACGTTGTAACTAATTATGATACCATTCTGTTCATCAGGCAAAACCTCATCCCACATGACAAATATGCTTGTTGAAGTCGTATTGATTGGACGTAAGTTCAAAGGGGCCCCACTGGGTCCTAAAAATCGTTGGTAAAAAATTCATTTCATATCTTTATCATGTTAGCGGCGTTTCGTTAAGATAATGAAAGCCATTTGCTGGGTCATAGAGTTGCGTTCGTAAAGCAAATTAATGGATATTTTGAAAGAGATAGTTTTGCTTCAGAAAAACACCAAAGGGTAAGAAAAAACCCAAAAGAAAAACAAAGATTATAACAGATGGCGAGGATTGATTAAGATTAGAACTGACGAAATTTACAAAATTTTTGGTATGCTAAAAAAGATAAAGTTCATCACAGTCAAAGGTGGCTCTTAACCCGAGAGAGAGACATATTAAGAGATTCCATTACAATCCGCACTAAAACTGGATTAGTTACTTTGACTCTCAGCAAAAAATTAACTTTTTTGAACTTAATTTTCTCTAAGGTCATCGGTCAGACTGTCACATTAACACTTAAGGCTAACCTAATTAATCCTTCAAATCAGAAGATGCAGACGGTTCTCAGCAGAAAGATTAGGAAACAGCATTCAATATTTGAGTGGTAACTTGAAGTTAAAGAAAAAAGAAACGTCTGTTCATAACTTAGGGACTTTGTTTGAAGGGGAACTACAAAGAACACGTGATAGAGTAGCCTCTTCGAAGCGTTAAGTTTCTTGAAAAGGGACGACAATAGCGCCATAGCGCCCCATTTACTGCGAGATTTCCAAATTTCTGAAGTTGTCTAACTTTTGAAATAAAGCTGAATAATAAGACGCCCATAAAAAAGATAAAGTAAGATAACTTACAAGTCAATGTTCATTTCGTTTTTTCCGAGATTTGAATTAAAAAAAAAACTTAGCTTGAGGAAAGGGGTCTTCTTATTCATATAATTTTTATCTTCCACATTGTAATAACACACGGCAATTACTTTCTTTAAAGACCCACTTTACATTCTTTTCGACTTAAAAAGCTATAACTGGAAGGTAAACACAAACATCAGTCTTAAACGTGGACAAGATGGGTTGTTCAAGAACACTACTTACTATCCTGGTCTGTTCTAAAAACAATAGCAGGACTACTATTTGGTCCATCTCCTTTCGAAGTCGAGGCACGTACTGTGATATCGTAGTTGACGTACTCTCTAAGATCTGTTAATTCCTTTTGACGGTCATTGGGGCCAGCTATAGCGCTCCCATTGTGATTCTCTGATTGTGACTGGTAAATAATTTTGTAACTCGTGATGATACCATTCTGATCAAAAGCTGGAACATCGTCCCACTCTACTAGGATGCTGGTTGAGCTAGTGTTATGTCCTCTCACATTTAAAGGAGCAGCAGAAGGTTCTGAAAGGAAAGTTCACGAGACAGGAATCTAAATATTTCAGAAGGGTTAAAGAGGGTTCCGGTGTTTCCTTCTCTTAATAAAGGTTTGGGTAATTCAGAATGGTCGCAACCTTGCCATAACAAAAAGAAGGGTTCAGTTAACACCCTTCCGGATCTGAAAATGACTGATCAACCGAAAAAAAAAAAAAAAAGAGAGAGAGAGAAAAAAAATACCACTCACTATCCTGGTCAGTAATAACTAAAATAGGATCGCTGGCTTTTCCATTTCCTTTCACCGTAGATGCAAACAATGTGATGTTGTAGTAAACAAACTTCTTCAAGCCTGTTAGATTCAATATTTTTGTTGTAGAAGCCACTGTTTTACTACGGATGTCATTCTGTGTCAGTGATTGATAACTAATGGTGTAAGTTAAAATGACGCCATTCTGATCTGCTGGTGGAACCTCTCTCCACTCTACTAAGATGCTGGTTGAGCTGGTGTTATGTCCTCGTATATTGGCAGGAGGAGCAGAAGGCTCTAAAATGAATAAGCAAAGTTTGTATATATCTTGTATACAATAAATGATTGACTCTATCTTACCACCAGAAATTGCCAAACCATCATAGATTTTCAATTTGTTTCATTCACTTTTAGCTTTTATCATTTTCTCTGTCCCTTTATCCCTTTGAAGGAAGGGGATAAAATGTGACTTACATTTCTTTCTCTCGTTATCATCTGAAATATTATGTTAATACATCGAACTAAAAGCAAAATTACTCACTGTCCTCGCTAGTACTGACAATAATAGGATCACTGGCTGGTCCGTTTCCCACTACTGTAGATGCAAACACCGTGATGCTGTAGTTAACAAACTCTCTTAGACCAGTCAGAGTCATTTGGCGGGCGACATAATCCACTGTTGCACTGCTACTGTGTTTCTCTGTCAGTGAGTGATAGCTAATATTGTAATTTGTGATGATACCATTCTGTTCAGCCGCTGGAACTTCATCCCACGTGACTGAGATGCTGGTTGAGCTGATGCTTTGTCCAGCGACGTTCGTGGGAGGAGCAGAAGGCTCTGAATTAAACAGAAAGAACATAAGATACTTTGTTTTCCAAGGAAGTAGTCTAAGGGGACTTATGTAGAAAACGCCTGACGTGACATTTACTCTATTTTGACATAAAGTAAATAACACTTAAGAGGAAAATATGCTCATTGGAATAGGGGAAGGACAGAAATTTGAATTACATTAGCACTCATGGCAGAAATCGTATTAATAATCTGAATGGTTGACAGGAAACCGTAATTAAAAACAAACAAACAAACAAAAACAGAATAAAAAAAATTATGTTAGTATGTAACAAACATCATTGTTGGAAAATAAATAGGATTCCGATTAGAGAATTAATAAATAAAACAAAGCAAAACAAAAATTAAGATATATCAAGTGCCTTTCGTCATTCGTTCGACTGCAAACGAGTCAACATTAAGATCCCAGACATTGTTATACATAAAATTATCTGTATAATCATAGGATGTAAAATTCATGTTTTCGGCAACATCTGAATCCTCTCTCATGGTTACATCATTCACTTTGAGGGAGGTTAGCTTGTTTGATCCTATACTGGCCGATGAGAGGTAGATCTAAAACGATTTCGGGTCCCAGAGATCTTTAGATCTTAGAGATCTTATTAATGTGTTCCCTCCGGGAAGAGTTGCCAGCATTTTTAGTAAGTTGTTTATGGAGCAGTACGCGTCCATGACTTTTGTCGGCCAGATCTTGTTGCTTTCTTGTTGAGCCCCTTCTTTTTCTTAAACGACTTCATCAAGCCGTGAGTAATCCATGAAGCATGCTTTCCGTTTTTAGCTGACCCTAGAGGACACTTAATGTACAAAAACTTACGCAAAAGTATTGACATGCGTCCGAACATTCAATTGCGAGAGAGCTCCTTGAGATTCAATACAAATATAACCGAAAATGTGTTTGGAAGCGATAAGCTTTATCTCCGGAGCTGATTAACTATGAAGCATTGTCTAAGTTAGAAGCACGCCCATTCAAACGACGTTTCTCTCATATGTGTCTCAAACCTTTTTTTCTGATTTCATTCGAATCCATCAATTTGAAGGAAGACGTTAGTACAAAAATGTCTAAAATGAATTGGGTCAGTCATTTTAACATTTGCAAGTTACAGTATAGATTTTCCTCATCAGATCACAGTGTATCTACAATACGTACTTTGAGTATCCTTTGGGAGTCAGACGCAATTACACTATGTACATTCTACGCTTTAATCACTTTGTATTACATTCTACCTTGAGTAACACAATAGAGAGAGGATATTAGTTCAACTTACTGTCCTCCTGTGTTCGCAAAAACTTGGGAACGCTAAGTGGTCCATCCCCTATCATAGTGAATGCTAACACATCAATGCTGTAGTTTGTAAATTCATTCAGAGTCTGTAACGTCTTTGTTCCTCCTTCATCCTGTTGTTTACTGCTGATATTGAGGAATTCGGTAACGATGCCACCATTTGGTAAAGCTCGATAATTTAGTTTATATCCTAGAATGATTCCATTTCGATCATCAGCAGGGACAGGACCCCAGGATACATTGATACTTGTAGATGTCACATCGCTAATTGTGACTAGTTGTGGTGGCCCACTAGGCTCTGAAAGCAAAGAAAATTTATCGCAAGGTCTCGTAGATGAACTTATTACGGGAAGCAAACTGAGGAGAGAACGACTAAAGGGGATAGCTTTCTAAAGAAACTGTGGTGCTGTCTCGGTGGGAGAGTATAACAAGGTAATTTGGTATCATCAACTGAGTTGATAACGTAAATTAGCTAATGTAAAGAGTTTCAAAGCTGTCGTTTCGAGGGTTTTAGACGTTTCGGCGTCAGCCCCTTGTCAGAGCACCGACGAAGGGATAACGCTCGAAACGTCAGCTTTAAAACTCTTTACGATGGTCAATTTACGTTGCCAACTCAGTTGATAATACCCAACTATCCTGGGCAAAGGATGGAAAATAAAATAAGCTGGTAAAGTATCAATTTTTGCCAGAACTGAAGATAAACTCAGACAATTAAAAAATATAGCTAATTGCGCGAAGATTCCTTATTACAAATATTATGTCAAAAGGATTTCCACTTCTTATAACACCTTCATTCATGACGGCCTTAACAGAAGATATAAAGTCTGTGTCTTTTAAAATCATTGCATTCATTCCAAATGCAAATAAACTGTTAGAAAAAGTTTGATTATAAGCGCACACATTACCTGCTTATTGTTTGAAGTTTTCCTCACGCGCAAAAAGAATACGCAACTCGCAAAATATCCGCTTGTATTACGTGTTAAACCATTAAATAGAGTGTACATTATTATTCTCTCTCTGTCTCCCGCGTGATCATACGGTGTAAAATCTTCTCGCACCACCTCTTACACATACATTACTCTCTATGGTGTGTACGAGGCAGAAACGAACACAACAGCTGTTTCAGCAAAAATAAAAGCACAGATGCTTACATAAAACTTAAAAGGACTTAAAAACTTAAAACTTACTGTCTTCCAGTGTCTGCACAACCTGGGCAACACTTGCTGGTCCATTTCCAACTAAAGTGAATGCTAACACTCTAATGCTGTAGTTTGTAAACTCATTCAGATTATCTAAAGTCACTGTTTGTGTTTTATTCTGTTGCTGACTGCTGATATTGCTGAACTTGGCGACCATTTCACCATTTGGTAAGGCTTGATAATTCACTTTATATCCTTTGATGATTCCATTTCGATCATCAGCAGTAACAGGATTCCATGAAACGGAGACACTTGTAGAAGATAAAACATCGATTGTGACAGCTTGTGGTGGGCCACCGGGATCTAAAGGCAATACAAAGAAATGATACGATTCGTTCAAGTATTAAACTGTCTATGGGAAATGTTGATATGGTGAAAATTGTGTTTTGCTGTTTTCTCAAAATAACTTATGCGATAGCGGCACCCTTTACTAAAAGAGAGTAAGAGAAGACTCGCATTCATAACCACAGTCGAACCTGAATTAAGCAGTAACCGCAGGGAATTCTGGGGTGACCACCTAAATATAGAGTAACCGTTTAATTAGGGTTCCATGGAATAGGGGTTTTATTTGCAAAAAAAATTGACAGATTCAATATCGGTTATTATCCACGACAACGGCACCTGGACAGTACCGAAAGAATTGTTAAATAATGAAAGAGGGGGCACTAACTTGACTGGACATTCCCTCAGTAAAAGCAATGAAAGATGATCAGACCCGGGGGGCTTGCTCGATTTAAGAGGGTGGCTACTTTTGTGTACATTACATAGGATAGTTGACATTTTTCGACCATTATCTAGAGAATATTACACGTTGGCGATAAGTTATATATTATCTAAATTCTATGAGTTTTATGTTCGAGTGGCATATAACTTACTGTCTTCGCCAGTAATGACAATAATAGCATCACTGGCTGGTCCAGGTCCTATGTTCGTAGAAGCGGACACTGTGATGCTGTAGTTAACAAACTCTCTCAGACCTATCAGAGTCACTTGGCGATCTGGATAATCCACTGTTGTACTGTTACTGTGATTCTCTGTCAGTGAGTGATAGGTGATGTTGTAACTCGTAATGATACCATTTTTATCAGCAGCCGGAACACCATCCCATGTTACAAAGATGCTGGTTGAGCTTGTGTTATGTCCTCTCACATTCAAAGGAGCAGCAGATGGCTCTGATAGAAATGAGGTAAGAACTGCTTTAAACAGGGAAATAATCAATACCAACCTTTTTTTATGTCCTTAAAAAAAATAGTTACTGCTTATATTAGGACTGGACAGTGTCAGCAGATAACAACTGATTTCTGAAATGCGTCATAGAACATTAATTCAAAAGCAAAATTACTCACTGTCTTCCCCAGAACTGATAAAAACAGGATCGCTTTCAGGTCCATTTCCTTTCACCGTGGAAGCAAACACTGTGATGCTGTAGTTAACAAACTCTCTCAGACCCATCAGAGTCACTTGACGATCTGGATGATCCACTGTTGTACTGTTACTGTGATTCTCTGTCAGTGAGTGATAAGTGATGTTGTAACTCGTAATGATACCATTTTTATCAGCAGCCGGAACATCATCCCATGTTACGAAGATGCTGGTTGAGCTTGTGTTATGTCCTCTCACATTCAAAGGAGCAGCAGATGGTTCTGATATAAATGAGGGAAGAACTGCTTTAAACAGCGAAATAATCAATACCAACCTTTTTTATGTCCCTAAAAAAATTGTTACAGCCTATATTAGGTCTGGCACTGGACTGGACAGTGTCAGCACATAAGAACTGATTTCTGAAATGAAACGAGGAACATTAATCCAAAAGAAAAACTACTTACTATCCTCGCCAGTACTGATAATAACAGGATCGCTTTCAGGTCCATTTCCTTTCACCGTGGAAGCAAACACTGTGATGCTGTAGTTAACAAACTCTCTCAGACCCATCAGAGTCACTTGACGATCTGGATGATCCACTGTTGTACTGTTACTGTGATTCTCTGTCAGTGAGTGATAAGTGATGTTGTAACTCGTAATGATACCATTTTTATCATCAGCCGGAACATCATCCCATGTTACCAAGATGCTGGTTGAGCTTGTGTTATGTCCTCTCACATTCAAAGGAGCAGCAGATGGTTCTGATATAAATGAGGTAAGAACTGCTTTAAAGAACGATATAATCAATAGCATTTTTTTTTAATGAATATAAAAAAAATAGTTACTGCCTATATTAGGTCTGGTACTGGACAAGTATGTATTGGTGGTTAAGAACTGATTTCTGAAATGCAACATACAACATTAATTCAAAAGCAAAATTACTTACTGTCTTCGCCAGAACTGATAATAACAGGATCGCTTTCAGGTCCATTTCCTTTCACCGTGGAAGCAAACACTGTGATGCTGTAGTTAACAAACTCTCTCAGACCCATCAGAGTCACTTGACGATCTGGATGATCCACTGTTGCACTGTTATTGTGATTCTCCGTCAGTGAGTGATAAGTGATGTTGTAACTCGTAATGATACCATTTTTATCAGCAGCTGGAACATCATCCCAAGTGACAAAGATGCTGGTTGAGCTTGTGTTATGTCCTCTCACATTCAAAGGAGCAGCAGAAGGTTCTGAAGTGAACCATAAGCACATTTAACGGACTTTGCATACGCAGTGGTCAAACAGTTCTTAGCCTGAGAAGTTACGCGTTTGCGGAAACCGCTGTACTGTACATTACTTTCGATATATGATATTAAAAAAAAATAGGATTTGGAATTAATAGGTTTGAGCTTTGACGTGGTCAACCGTTTTTTTTAATTTTTGTCTTTTTTTGTTTTGTCTTTCCTTTTACATATTTTTTCCTTTCAGCTTACCCTCTTCTTTAAAGGATAGGCTAGATGTGTTCAGAGTAAAATAATAATATACACATGTGAGAACATTTGACGACGAAGCTTTTAAGCTCAAATCAATAGCAAGTCGAAATACAGAGGTGGGGCCCTCAACCGACATTGAACTAAACCCGACAAAACCATAAATGAATTCAAAGAAACTCAATCACATTCTTTTCTTAAACAACACCGTATCATAGTGCTTACACAGGCCTTTTAAGATCGAAGGCACAGCAAGCACAAAAATGAACAAAAACTCAAATGTAAGAGGTGCCTCGCATCATCTCGTTCTATATTCATACCAACTCCAAGTTTCTAACATGCAACGACGAACATCAAACTAAAAACAAAATCACTTACTATCCTCGCCAGTACTGACAATAACGGGTTTACTGGCTGGTCCAGGTCCTATCTTCGTAGAGGCAGACACTGTGATGCTGTAGTTAACAAACTTTTTCAGACCCGTCAGAGTCACTTGACGATCTGGAAAATCGACTGTTGTACTGTTACTATGATTCTCTGTCAGTGAGTGATAGGTGATGTTGTAACTTGTGATGATACCATTCTGTTCAGCCGCTGGAATATCATTCCAAATGATAAAGATGCTGGTTGAGCTTGTGTTATGTCCGCTCACATTCATAGGAGCGGCAGAAGGTTCTGAAATATATGAGTTAAGATCGGTTATTTTCCACGACAACGGCACCTGGTCAGTATCAAAGTAACTGCCAAAACTAATCATGAACAAAGACAAGGCGCTAACTTGACTACGCATTCCTTCAGTACAAGCGGTGAAATCTAATCAGGACTGGAGGACCTGCGCAGGTTTAGTTTTCTAAAAGCTGGCTGATTTCATTTACATTACATAGGAGAGTTGACAGTTTGCGATCCAAGACATTGTTATACATAAAAATATTTGCATAATCCTCGGATTTGGGAATCAGACGCAATTACACTTTGTACATTCTACGCTTTAATCACATTGTATTACATTCTACTTTGAGTAACACCAGAGAGAGAGGATATTAGTTCAACTTACTGTCCTCCTGTGTTCGCAAAAACTTGTGAACGCTTGGTGGTCCATCTCCTATTATAGTGAATGCTAACACATCAATGCTGTAGTTTGTAAATTCATTCAGAGTCTGGAGCGTCTTTGTTCCTCCTTCATTCTGTTGTTTACTGCTGATATTGAGGAATTCGGTAACGATGCCACCATTTGGTAAAGCTCGATAATTTAGTTTATATCCTAGGATGATTCCATTTCGATCATCAGCGGGGACAGGACCCCAGGATACATTGATACTTGTAGATGTCACATCACTAATTGTGACTAGTTGTGGTGGCCCGCTAGGCTCTGAAAGCAAAGAAAATTCATCGCAAAATTTATCTCGTAGATGAACCTTTTACGGGAAGCAAACTGAGGAGAGAACGACTAAAGGGGATAGCTTTCTGAAGAAACTGTGGTGCTGTCTCGGTGGGAGAGTATAACAGGGTAATTTGGTATCATCAACTGAGTTGATAACGTAAATTGGACAATGTAAAGAGTTTCAAAGCTGACGTCTCGACGTTTTAGACGTTTCGGCGTTAGCCCCTTGTCAGAGCACTGAAGAAGGAATAACGCTGGAAACGTTAGCTTTAAACTCTTTACGGAGGTCAATTTACATTGTCAACTCAGTTAATAATAGCCAATTACCCTGAGCAAAGGATGGAAAATAAAATAAGCTGATAAAGCATTAATTTTTGCCAGAACTGAAGATAAATTCGGACAATTAAGAAAAATATGGCTAGTTGCACGAAGATTCCAAAATTACAAATATTATGTCAAAAGTATTTGGACTTCTCCTTAGATCTTCGCTTATGACGGCCTTAACATAGGATATGAAGCATTTGTCTTATAAAATCATTCTAGTCATTCCAATTGCAAATAAACTGTTAGAAAAAAGTTTGATTACAAGTGCACATATCACCTGCTCATTGCTCGAACTTTTACTCACCCGGAAAAAAACTAGGCAACTCGCAAAATATCCGCTTCTATTACGTGTTAAACCATTAAATAAGGTGTACATTATTATTCTCTCACTGTCTCTCGCGAGATCATACGGCGTAAAATCTTTTCGGACCACCTCTTAAACATACATTACTCTCTATGGTGTGTACGAGGCAGAAACGAACACAACAACTGTTATAGCAAAAAATAAAAGCACAAATGCTTGCATTAAACTTACTGTCTTCCAGTGTCTGCACAACCTGGGCAACACTTGCTGGTCCATTTCCAACTAAAGTGAATGCTAACACTCTAATGCTGTAGTTTGTAAACTCATTCAGATTATCTAAAGTCACTGTTTGTGTTTTATTCTGTTGCTGACTGCTGATATTGCTGAACTTGGCGACCATTTCACCATTTGGTAAGGCTTGATAATTTACTTTATATCCTTTGATGATTCCATTTCGATCATCAGCAGTAACAGGATTCCATGAAACGGAGACACTTGTAGAAGATATAACATTGATTGTGACAGCTTGTGGTGGGCCACCGGGATCTAAAGGCAATACAAAGAAATGATAAGATTCGTTCAAGTATTTAACCGGCTATGGGAAATGTTGATACGGTGAAAATTGTGTTTTGCTGTTTTGTCAAAATAACTTATCATAGCGGCACCCTTTACCAGGAGCCCTTGATCACGATTCGTTCGTATTTAGAAACCCTTATAGGAACTTTGTTTCAAACTAATTGTCTTGGTTAGGAATATGTTATTAAAAAAAAAGCGTGTACAAGAAAGAACACATTCCAAGCCAACATAACGTTTACCATCAAAGAATTGAAGGTCTCCAAATGTTTCATTAACAAACGTCGATACGATGTTAGAGAAATGCACGCAACTAAGGTCTCCCGGATGCAAGAGAAAGACTTAGATTCATAACCACGGTCGAACCTGAATTAAGCCGTCACCGCCAGGGAATGCTGGGGTGACCGCCTAAATATAGGGTCACCGCTTAATGGAGGTTCCATGGAATAGGGGTTTTATTTTAAAAAATGGACAGAGACAATATCGGTTATTATCCACGACAACGGCACCTGGGTAGTACCGAAGGAATTGTTAAATAATGAAAGAGAAGGCGCTCGCTGACTGGATATTCCCTCAGTAAAAGCAATGAAAGCTGATCAGACCAGGGGGACTTGCTCGAGTTAAGAGGGAGGCTAGTTTCGTGTACATTACATAGGATAGTTGACATTTTTCGACGATTATATAGAGAATATTACACGTTGGCGAGAAGTTATATATTATCTAAATTCTATGAGTTTTATGTTCGAGTGACATATCACTTACTGTCTTCGTCGGTAATGACAACAATAACATCACTGGCTGGTCCAGGTCCTATCTTCGTAGAAGCGAACACTGTGATGTTGTAGTTAACAAACTCTCTCAGACCTATCAGAGTCACTTGGCGATCTGGATAATCCACTCTTGTACTGTTACTGTGATTCTCTTTCAGTGAGTGATAAGTGATGTTGTAACTCGTAATGATACCATTTTTATCAGCAGCTGGAACATCATCCCATGTTACAAAGATGCTGGTTGAGCTTGTGCCATGTCCTCTCACATTCAAAGGAGCAGCAGATGGTTCTGATATAAAAAGGTAAGAACTGCTTTAAACAGCGAAATAATTAATACCAACCTTCTTTTTGTGTCCCCCCAAAAAATAGTTACCGCCTATATTAGCTCTGGCGGTGGACTGAACAGTGTCAGCAGATAAGAACTGATTTCTGAAATGCAACGAGGAACATTAATCCACAAGCAAAGTTACTTACTGTCTTCGCCAGAACTGATAATAACAGGATCGCTTTCAGGTCCATTTCCTTTCACCGTGGAAGCAAACACTGTGATGCTGTAGTTAACAAACTCTCTCAGACTCACGAGAGTCACTTGACGATCTGGATGATCCACTGTTGCACTGTTACTGTGATTCTCTGTCAGTGAGTGATAAGTGATGTTGTAACTCGTAATGATACCATTTTTATCAGCAGCCGGAACATCATCCCATATTACAAAGATGCTGGTTGAGCTTGTGTTATGTCCTCTCACATTCAAAGGAGCAGCAGAAGGTTCTGAAGTGAACAATAAATACATTTAACGGACTTTGCATACGCAGTGGTCAAACAGTTCTTAGCCTGAGAAGTTACACGTTTGCGGAAACCGCTGTACTGTACATTACTTTCGATATATGATATTAAAAAAAAATAGGATTTGGAATTAATAGGTTCGAGCTTTGGCATGGTCAACCGTTTTTTTTTAATTTTTTGTCTTTTTTTGTTTTGTCTTTCCTTTTACATATTTTTTCCTTTCAGCTCACCCTCTTCTTTAAAGGATAGGTTAGATATCTTCAGAGTAAAATAATAATATACACATGTAAGAACGTTTGACGACGAGGCTTTTAAGCACAAATCAATAGCAAGTCGAAATACAGAGGTGGGGCCCTCAACCGAAATTGAACTAAACCCGACAAAACCATAAATGAATTCAAAGAAACCCAATCACATTCTTTTCTTAAACAACACCGTATCATAGTGCTTACACAGGCCTTTTAAGATCGAAGGCACAGCAAGCACAAAAATAAACAAAAACTCAAATGTAAGAGGTGCCTCGCATCATCTCGTTCCATATTCATACCAACGCCAAGTTTCTAACATGCAACGACGAACATCAAACTAAAAACAAAATCACTTACTATCCTCGCCAGTACTGACAATAACGGGTTTACTGGCTGGTCCAGGTCCTATCTTCGTAGAGGCAGACACTGTGATGCTGTAGTTAACAAACTTTTTCAGATCCGTCAGAGTCACTTGACGATCTGGAAAATCGACTGTTGTACTGTTACTATGATTCTCTGTCAGTGAGTGATAGGTGATGTTGTAACTTGTGATGATACCATTCTGTTCAGCCGCTGGAATATCATTCCAAATGATAAAGATGCTGGTTGAGCTTGTGTTATGTCCGCTCACATTCATAGGAGCAGCAGAAGGTTCTGAAATATATGAGTTAAGATCGGTTATTTTCCACGACAACGGCACCTGGCCAGTATCGAAGGAACTGCCAAAACTAATCATGAACAAAGACAAGGCACTAACTCGACTACGCATTCCTTCAGTACAAGCGGTGAAATCTAATCAGGACTGGAGGACCTGCGCAGGTTTAGTTTTTTAAAAGCTGGCTGATTTCATTTACATTACATAGGATAGTTGGCAGTTTGAGATCCAAGACATTGTTTTACATAAAAATATTTGCATAATCCTCGGATGTAAAATTCATGTTTTCGGCAACATCTGAATCCTCTCCCATCGTTACATCATTCAGTTTCAGAGAGGTTAGCTTGTTTGATCCTTTACTGGCCGATGAGATGCAGCTCTAAAACGATTTCGGGTTCCAGAGATCTTTAGATCTTCAGAGATCTTATTAATGTGTTCCCTCTGGGAAGAGTTGCCAGCATTTTTGATAAGTTGTTTATGGAGCAGTACGCGTCCATGACTTTTGTCGGCCAGATCTTGTTGCTTTCTTGTTGAGCCCCTTCTTTTTCTTACGTGACTTCATCACGCCGTGAGTAATCCATGAAGCATGCTTTCCGTTTTTAGCTGACCCTACAGGACACTTAATGTACAAAAACGTACGCAAAAGTATTGACATGCGTCCGAACATTCAATTGCGAAAGAGCTCCTTGAGATTCAATACCAATATAACCGAAAATGTGTTTGGAAGCGATAAGCTTCATCTCCGGAGCTGATTTACTATGAAGCATTGTCTAAGTTAGAAGCACGCCGATTCAAACGACGTTTCTCTCATATGTGTCAGTGGCTCTGATATAAATGAGGTAAGAACTGCTTTAAACAACGATATAATCAATACCATTTTTTAATGAATATAAAAAAAAATAGTTACTGCCTATATTAGGTCTGGTACTGGAGAAGTATGTGTTGGTAGTTAAGAACTGATTTCTGAAATGCGTCATAGAACATTAATTCAAAAGCAAAATTACTCACTGTCTTCCCCAGAACTGATAAAAACAGGATCGCTTTCAGGTCCATTTCCTTTCACCGTGGAAGCAAACACTGTGATGCTGTAGTTAACAAACTCTCTCAGACCCATCAGAGTCACTTGACGATCTGGATGATCCACTGTTGTACTGTTACTGTGATTCTCTGCCAGTGAGTGATAAGTGATGTTGTAACTCGTAATGATACCATTTTTATCAGCAGCCGGAACATCATCCCATGTTACGAAGATGCTGGTTGAGCTTGTGTTATGTCCTCTCACATTCAAAGGAGCAGCAGATGGTTCTGATATAAATGAGGGAAGAACTGCTTTAAACAGCGAAATAATCAATACCAACCTTTTTTATGTCCCTAAAAAAATTGTTACAGCCTATATTAGGTCTGGCACTGGACTGGACAGTGTCAGCACATAAGAACTCATTTCTGAAATGAAACGAGGAACATTAATCCAAAAGAAAAACTACTTACTATCCTCGCCAGTACTGATAATAACAGGATCGCTTTCAGGTCCATTTCCTTTCACCGTGGAAGCAAACACTGTGATGCTGTAGTTAACAAACTCTCTCAGACCCATCAGAGTCACTTGACGATCTGGATGATCCACTGTTGTACTGTTACTGTGATTCTCCGTCAGTGAGTGATAAGTGATGTTGTAACTCGTAATGATACCATTTTTATCAGCAGCCGGAACATCATCCCATGTTACGAAGATGCTGGTTGAGCTTGTGTTATGTCCTCTCACATTCAAAGGAGCAGCAGATGGTTCTGATATAAATGAGGGAAGAACTGCTTTAAACAGCGAAATAATCAATACCAACCTTTTTTATGTCCCTAAAAAAATTATTACAGCCTATATTAGGTCTGGCACTGGACTGGACAGTGTCAGCACATAAGAACTGATTTCTGAAATGAAACGAGGAACATTAATCCAAAAGAAAAACTACTTACTATCCTCGCCAGTACTGATAATAACAGGATCGCTTTCAGGTCCATTTCCTTTCACCGTGGAAGCAAACACTGTGATGCTGTAGTTAACAAACTCTCTTAGACCCATCAGAGTCACTTGACGATCTGGATGATCCACTGTTGTACTGTTACTGTGATTCTCTGTCAGTGAGTGATAAGTGATGTTGTAACTCGTAATGATACCATTTTTATCAGCGGCCGGAACATCATCCCATATTACAAAGATGCTGGTTGAGCTTGTGTTATGTCCTCTCACATTCAAAGGAGCAGCAGATGGTTCTGATATAAATGAGGGAAGAACTGCTTTAAACAGCAAAATAATAATCTATACCAACCTTTTTTTATGTCCCTAAAAAAATTGTTACAGCCTATATTAGGTCTGGCATTGGACTGGACAGTGTCAGCACATAAGAACTCATTTCTGAAATGGAACGAGGAACATTAATCCAAAAGCAAAATTACTCACTATCCTCGCTAGTACTGATAATAACAGGATCGCTTTCAGGTCCATTTCCTTTCACCGTGGAAGCAAACACTGTGATGCTGTAGTTAACAAACTCTCTCAGACCCATCAGAGACACTTGGCGATCTGGATGATCCACTGTTGTACTGTTACTGTGATTCTCTGTCAGTGAGTGATAAGTGATGTTGTAACTCGTAATGATACCATTTTTATCAGCAGCCGGAACATCATCCCATATTACAAAGATGCTGGTTGAGCTTGTGTTATGTCCTCTCACATTCAAAGGAGCAGCAGATGGTTCTGATATAAACGAGGTAAGAACTGTTTTAAACAGCGATATAATCGATACCACCTTTTTTTTCTTATGTCCACAAAGAAAAAAATAGTCACTGCCTATATTAGATCTGGTGCTGGGCCTAACAGTGTTAGCAGATAAAATCTGATTTCAGAAATGTAACGAGTAACATTAATCCAAAAGCGAAGTTACTCACTATCCTCGCTAGTTCTGATAATAACAGGATCGCTTTCCGGTCCATTTCCTTTCACCGTGGAAGCAAACACTGTGATGCTGTAGTTAACAAACTCTCTCAGACCCATCAGAGTCACTTGACGATCCTGATGATCCACTGTTGTACTGTTACGGTGATTCTCCGTCAGTGAGTGATAAGTGATGTTGTAACTCGTAATGATACCATTTTTATCAGCAGCTGGAACACCATCCCATGTTACCAAGATGCTGGTTGAGCTTGTGTTATGTCCTCTCACATTCAAAGGAGCAGCAGATGGTTCTAATATAAACAAGGTAAGAACTGTTTTATACAGCAAAATAATCAATACCAAACTTTTTTCTATGTCCCTAAAAAAATAGTTACTGCCTATATTAGTTCTGGCACTGGACTGGACAGTGTTAGCAGATAAAATCTGATTTCAGAAATGTAACGAGTAACATTAATCCAAAAGCGAAGTTACTCACTATCCTCGCTAGTTCTGATAATAACAGGATCGCTTTCCGGTCCATTTCCTTTCACCGTGGAAGCAAACACTGTGATGCTGTAGTTAACAAACTCTCTCAGACCCATCAGAGTCACTTGACGATCTGGATGATCCACTGTTGTACTGTTACTGTGATTCTCTGTCAGTGAGTGATAAGTGATGTTGTAACTCGTAATGATACCATTTTTATCAGCAGCCGGAACATCATCCCAAGTGACAAAGATGCTGGTTGAGCTTGTGTTATGTCCTCTCACATTCAAAGGAGCAGCAGATGGTTCTGATGTAAACGAGGTAAGAACTGTTTTAAACAGCGAAATAATCTATACCAACTTTTTTTCTCATGTCCATAAAGAAAAAATACTTACTGCCTATGTAAGGTCTGGTGGTGGGCCTAATTGTGTTAGCAGATTAGAACTGATTTCTGAAATGCAACGAGGAACATTAATCTTAAAGCAAAATTACTCACTATCCTGGCCAGTACTGATAAGAACAGGATCACTTTCAGGTCCATTTCCTTTTACTGTGGAAGCAAACACTGTAATGCTGTAGTTAACAAACTCTCTCAAACCCATCAGAGTCACTTGACGATCTGGATGATCCACAGTTGTACTGTTACTGTGATTCTCTGTCAGTGAGTGATAGGTGATGTTGTAACTCGTAATGATACCATTTTTATCAGCAGCCGGAACATCATCCCATATAACAAAGATGGTGGTTGAGCTTGTGTTATGTCCTCTCACATTCAAAGGAGCAGCAGATGGTTCTGATAAAACGAGGTAAGAACTGCTTTAAACAGGGAAATAATCAATACCAACCTTTTTTTTATGTCCCGAAAAAAAATAGTTACTGCCTATATTAGGTCTAGCACTGGACTGGACAGTGTTAGCAGATTAGATCTGATCTCTGAAATGCAATGAGGAACATTAAACTTAAAGCAAAATTACTCACTATCCTCGCCAGTACTGACAATAACAGGATCGCTTTCAGGTCCATTTCCTTTCACAGTGGAAGCAAAAAGTGTAATACTGTAGTTAACAAACTCTCTCAGACCCATCAAAGTCACTTGACGATCCGGATGATCCACTGTTGTACTGTTACTGTGATTCTCTGTCAGTGAGTGATAAGTGATGTTGTAACTCGTAATGATACCATTTTTATCAGCAGCCGGAACATCATCCCATATTACAAAGATGCTGGTTGAGCTTGTGTTATGTCCTCTCACATTCAAAGGAGCAGCAGAAGGTTCTGAAATGAACCATAGGCATATGTAACGGACTTTGTATACGAAGGGAGTGGTCAAACAGGTTCCAGCTTAAGAAGTTACACGTTTGCGGAAACTGCTTAACTGTACATTACTTTCGATGTATGATACAAAAAAAAAAAAAAAACGAAGGATTCGGAATTAACATGTTCGAGCTCAGGTCCCGTCAACCTTTATTTTAATGTTTTGTCTTTCTTTTTTTTTCTTTTCTTTTGCATATTTTGACCTTTCGGCTCTTCTCTAAAGAATAGGTTAGATATGTTCAGACTAAAATAATATGCACATGTGCACGTGAGAGCGTTTTACGACGAAGCTTTTACGTTCTAATCGATAACAAGTCGAAATACAGAGGTATGGCCCTGAACCGACATCGAATTAAACCCGAAAAAACCATAAATGAATTGAAGAAACCCAATCATATTCTTTTCTTACACAACAACGTGCCATAGAGCTTACGCAGGCCTTCCTATACACACTTCACACTTCACCGGGTAATTTGGTATCATCAACTGAGTTGGTCAACGTAAATTTGCTAATGTAAAGAGTTTGAAAGCTAAAGTTTCGACGCTTTTGACGTTTGAGACGTTTCGGCGTTAGTCCCTTGTCAGAGCACTGACGAAGGAATAACGCTCGAAACATCAGCTTTGAAACTCTTTACGGAGGTCAATTTAGGTTGTCAATTCAGTTGATAATACCCAATTACCCTGAGTAAAGGATGAAAACAAAATAAGCTGGGACAGCATTTTGCTAGAACTGAAGATAAACTCGGATAAGTAAGAAAAACATTGCTTATTACACGTAGATTCCTTATTAAAAATATTTTATCGAAAAGGATTTCCTCTTCTCAGTACACCTCCGCTCATATATATATATATATATAAAAATAAATAAAAAAAAAAAACAGAAAGAAAGAAAAAAAGAAAGGGTGGACAGAGGAAATAACGGTTATCTTCCACGACAACGGCAACTGGCTAATATCGAAGGAATTGTTTAAAAATGAAAGAGAAGGCGCTCACTTGACTGCGCATTCTTTCAGAACAAGCATTGAAAGCTGATCAGACCCGGGGGAGTTGCGCGACTTAAGTTTTGTAAGAGGGTGGCTAATTTCGTTTACATTACATAGGTTAGTTGACAGTTTGAGATCTAAGACATTGTTATAGATACATACATAGGAGAATTTATTGTATTCTACCTAGAGTAACACAATAGAAAAGATATTAGGTTAACTTACTGTCCTCCAACGTTTGCACAAACTTGGCAAAGCTTGGTGGTCCATCTCCCACTATAGTGAACGCTAACACGCTAACGCTGTAGTTGGTAAATTCATTCAGAGTCTGTAATATCTTTGTTCTTCCTTCATTTTGTTGTTCATTGCTGATATTAAGGAATTCGGTAACGATGCCATGATTTGGTAATGCTCGATAATTTAGTTTATATCCTAGGATGATTCCATTTCGATCATTAGCAGGGACAGGACCCCAGGATACATTGATACTTGTAGACGTTACATCGCTTAGTGTGACTTGTTGCGGTGGCCCACTAGGCTCTGAAAGCATAGAAATTGTATCATAAGGTCCCGTAGATGTACTTTTCCGGGCATTAAACGGAGGAGAGAACGACTAAAGGGGATAACTTTCTAAAGAAACCGTGGTGCTGCGTCGGTGGGAGAGTATAACAGGGTAATTTGGCCTTATCAACTGAGTTGATAACATAAATTGGCCGATGTAAAGATTTTCAAAGCTGACTTTTCAACTTTTTTTTGACGTTTTGGACGTTTTGGCGTTAGCCCCTTGTCAGAGCACTGACGAAGGGATAACGCTCGAAACCTCGGCTTTGGAACTCTTTACGGGGGTCAGTTTACGTTGTCAACTCAATCGATAATAGCCAATTACCGTGAGGCACGCCTCTATCAATAGGTTCATTAGAACATGTGTACAACAAATGCAATTACCATTGTGACAAATCTTTCCTACGATTCGTTATACGTTCAGTAATGAAAAAACACTTCACTAGAAGAACTACACTGTAAGTTATACGGCAAATAATCATTGTCCGAGATTGTACAAACCATAAAAATCATGTTCGAAAAACAATTATATACAAAAGATGAACATGAGTAAAATAAAGTAACACTCACTATGCTGGTCAGTAGTCTTTTCCACCAAAGCACTTAAATTACTGACACCTTTACTGTTAAACGCCTGCATGGCAAACTCGTATGTAGTGTGTTCATTTAGTGGTCCTACTAGAAGTGATGTTTTTTCCGCTCTATCAACACTTTCATTTGTCCAGGTTGGAGTGTCTTTAACCCGGTGCAAAACGTAATAGCCCAAGATAGCACCTCTAGCCTTGTCCTTACTTAGCATCTGGTTTTGTAAAGTTAAAAAAAAAAACATTTATTTGATGAATAAAATACTTTTTACACATACTTAAAGGCGTCCAGTTGTTGTACTATACTATCATGAACAGTTCATGTACTTATTGATTAAATTTTTTTAAAATTAAAATTAAGTCTGAGTTTCCTTACGCTTAGACTGAAGTGGATCTCAAAAGCCATTAAAATGAAATTACAGCTGTAAACTAAAAACGCGACACACAAGCCACAGGCAAGGGTATAAACGATGGTCTTGCTAGCTACATCGCGTGATCCGTGACATGTATACGTTAAATGGTACACAACAACACGGAATCTAACGGAGGGAGCTGAAAATAATGTCGTTGCTGACATCGCCGACATGTAAAAGTAAGCTGCTGTCCAAGTTGATTAAGAGCAGAGTCTTGTCTACTTGTCTACTTGTCTAAGTCTACGCAATTTCAAATTTAAACCCGCAGAGAGCCGAACACGTGCATGGTTATTCGAAAACTAACGAAGTATTCAAGATTTAAAGTTTCGTCTTATCATGCGTACTTTCGCATCATTTAGCATACTTGTAATTATCGTATTTAACACTGTACTTAACAAAACAGTTGTGTGAACTAGTAATTCAGGTTTGAAACTCTCCCTTCCTTGTTGTAAAATGTGGAGGGAATAAATAAAACATGTCAATACTAAAAAAAAAACAACAACAACAACAAATCATTCGGAGATAAATGTAACGTCTGATAATTACCTGCCAGGAAACATTCACTGCAGTTGAATTGACAATAATCACATCAAAAGTCGGAGCTTCCCTTGGCACTGCAAAGTGAATTAAAAACTATATATATATATCTATATACATACAACTCTTTTAGTATGTCAATATATAACACATGAAAATTGTAGCAAAATTGTGTTTGCTTGATTTCCGCACAAAAGCACATAAACTAGCACCTGCTCACTACTGCTTGCAAAACTTTCGCAGTTAATACACACTTAGATTGTTGTACAAGTTTTCTCCACAAATTTGTGACACATGGCATACAATAGCCCTCATAAAGTAATTACCACAATTTCCAAAAAGTCTACACGCCCTTATCCCCTGTCATAATACTCCGGTAGCTATTATCGGTGTGGCTCCTTCCGTACACAGCAAAGAAATGCAGAGAGTGAATAGCATACATGTACCTTCTTCATCCGTGGTAACATTCAGAATATGGCTACTGTTACTTTGGCCAATTGTGTTTGTCGCAAACATTCTGATATTATATGTCGTCCAAGGAAGAAGACCTGTAAGAGAGGCTTTTGTGGAGGAACTGGACACCACACAGGCACTGCTTGAGAGTGATCCCTGACAAACAACACCCTTAAAGATCTGATTATCTTCACTGATCTCCACTGTGAAGTTCTCAATGGCACTATTTCCATCAAAACCAGCTGTCCAAGAGATATTCACCACCCGTGAGCCCTTTGAATCAACTGTCAATGTCTGCGGTGGGTCTGGCACCACTGTGGAATTAAACAATACTTCATTACTCATTAAAATGTGCAATTTCACCAAATAGATGAAGAGTTTTAAAATCGTTCTACATTGGACAAGTTCCACATTACTGATACAGGAAAATAAATTCATTCTTCTTAATTATTTCGATAAGATTGTTATGGAGATCGAGTTTTTTTGCATATCGACTGTTCAGCTTTTGGAATGATTTTATCAATATAATTTGCGTTGCTGCTCCCGTCATGTTGTGCATGTTCTGTCTTTAGGCTCCTCTAACCCCAAAACATAAGCAAGACCACGTTTTATGAGAATTTTTCCCATATCCAAGCGGTTGCAGTCTCAATTACCACAGACCATTGAAAATGAACAAAAAACAAAACTACCAATAACTGACAGCAAATGTGGCTTAGTTGAAGATCTACATTATTTGGTGTAATTATGGTTAAAATAGAATAGAGAGACACATAGATATAATGTATTTATGTGCAGCTGTTTTTTTTTCGTAATTTTTGTTTCTTTTCGCATTGGGTTAATTCTTGGTTTCCCTCTCTCTATTGGAACAATTGACCTTTCTCTTTTTGCGGGGGAAGGGGGAAGGGGGGAAGGGGGGAGGGAGGGGGAAGGGGGGAAGGGGGAGGGAGGGGGAAGGGGGAAGGGGGGAGGGAAGGGGGGAGGGGGAAGGGGGAAGGAGGGGAAGGGGGGAAGGAGGGGAAGGGGGGAAGGAGGGGAGGGAGGGAGGGAGGGGAAGAAACATTTAGAAGTGTAAGCTGCCAAATGATGACTTTATCCCTTTAACCTGTAAGAGTGATTCCTCCTAACAATGTTACACCTTAATGACACATTAAGATCACGAATAAAGGAAAGAAGAAGCTCTTGCTTGTTAGACAAATTCTCTTTGTCAGCACCTGAGAAAATGTATAGTGAACAGTATCGAGAGTAAGCTAAAAGATGTTAGGGTGTAAAGGGTAAAAGACAGTTGAGCCTGGAACTGTGTTTCTTAAAGAAAATTAAAACTTTTACAAAGGATAAAAAATATCCAAAAAAAAATGGAATCAGTTTTAATATAAGTTAACAAAGTTAATGAAGAATCCATAATCTCCAGTAAACTCTAAACAACAGCCCTACAGAGAAGACTATCTGCATACTGTACTTGACTCAAAGTGATGAGAGCAAACAATAGTACAAAATATCAATATACCGTGCATCATTCAGAAAAACATACCTTGTATAAGGACTGACGTTGTGTCTGAGGAATTGCCAACAGTATTTGTGACGAAGCAAGTGTAATTTCCCTCATTATGTGTAGTACTTGATAAAATGAGCAGCTGGGATTGACTTTCAGTGAACTGTGTTACATTCACCGATCCATTACCAATACCACTACCATTTCGAGCAATCACATTTCCATCTTTAACCCATTGTACTTCCGACACCGGCGGCGAAGCATTGTACTGGCAATCCAGATGGATCTGTTTGTTTATTTCAACAAACTTTGGTTCACTGCCACTTATTTTGACATCTGCTCTAACTGTAATCATAAGGATTTTTCAAGTTAGTCACCTCAAACGTGTACAGTACATGTATTTGAAACATTTCTATGATTATGTGTTCTATTTTTAGACAATTTAGTGTGTAGTATCCCTATTAATTTTTACTTGTTGTTTGTAAATGTATATTGATGAGCCCCCAAGGAAATACACCAAATCAAACCACGCTTTAGGTTATCTGCTTATATCATCCAAATGCAAAAGATGTGGCCCATTATTTCCAAATATTTCCTTTTATGCAAGTTTTACCAAACTGGTACATGTATACTAAAAATGTTTACACATGACACACCCAAAATAAACGTTAATGGCAGATGACGGAACAGCACTAAAACCTTTGCTTAGTACATGTGCACTTAGAACCTGCATTAACCTTTAAATCCCAATATCTATTTTTTTTTTAATTCTTCTCTCTAGCTATTACACAGTTCCTTGTAAGTTACATGTGATTGCGAGAATTTGGTTCTAGATCAAGATAAAAATTTCTGGGCCCAGTCGTTCAAAGAGTGGATAACACTATCCAACGGATAAACCACTGTCCATGGGATAACTGCTAAGAAAACGTACTACAACATCCACTAGAGAGCAATTTATCGAGTGGATTGCGTTATCCAACCTTTGACCAACCGGGGCCTGCATGATAAGCATTGGTATTCTTTTACACCTATTTGTTGAAAAACATATTCATACTATAGGGTGAAGTTAAATAAATCACTTCTTGGAGATAAAGGATTAGCAGGCACTCTAAACAATACCAAGCAGACATTACGAGTTCCTTAGGGTGTGCTCTCAGCAGATACTTACATGTATAAGGGTCTCAGGTACCCGGTGTGCTGACTTTCTGCAGGTTCCACCTAACCAATATTAGCAAGAGTGCTTTGACATTATATATCTCATATATTGCAGTCTGAAATAATACTCACAGTTGACTATCAGTTTTCCTGGGGCTGAAGTAGTGGTATTCACACTGTTATTTGCCACACATCTATATTGGCCTTCATCTCCTCGCACAATATTGGTAATTGTCAAACTTGAAGTGTTTCCCTTAAAATCAGAAACATTAATCCTTTGATTTTCTGATATATCATGTCCATCTTTTGTCCATTTCACATCTGGCGTAGGATTTCCATAAACTGTGCAATCCAGAGTTAAGTTAACATTTTGCTCTTCTATTACTGTCACATTCTGCGGGCTGCTGATAAATTCAGGTGGAACTAGAAAAAAAGGCAGTTTAGTCTGATTGTTGTTTTGGTCTTTAACTCAACTGGCAACATCAAATACATCCATAACCTTCTTGCAGAGGCCTGCAGTGTTTATGGTTTAACTAACAAGAGAAATTTGAAGGGCTTTCTAGCCTACTCTCATTTTAATAACCTATCTTGAATTTCGAGCACATCACACGTTTGTCTTTCAGTGGCCTTCAGTATATGTCGTGAACTTGTATAAGCGTGCAATGCATAATGGGTCCACTGACACATACATGCATTTTGTTTTCTTGAATTTTCAGTCCAATTTGTGTGAGTGAAATGATCACATGTGCAGTTGTTTAATTACAAACAGCAAAATAACAAGGGTAGTAAAGTTAGTGGCAATATAAACAAATAAACAAACAAAGAACACTGTTCACAAAGTAGCCTGTACTTATTAGAAATGAGCATCTGAGTAAAGCCATATCTTACATGGACACCTATTTGAGGAGGGAGGGGTGGGGGGTAAGGTTGCTGATCCCGTTTCAAGCACAAATTTTAAAAAAATTGATCCGTCACATCCTCTTTAAACAGTATTTCAAGCATCACGGCTTTGAAAGGGAAAATTTCAAATCTCACTCAGTATAGTGAAAAACATCCTATTAATTTTTTTTTTCCTACCCGCGCGGTATTGGTTAAGTTTACGTCACTAACGCATATTTATAGTGTATAATTGCTACGGCCATTATAGAGATGTGCGCGCCCTGATTGGTCGAGGATTGCGTCATATCTCGCTAAAATGACCTCGCGCAAGGTGATTATAGCAGGAGCGCTTAATTTCAAAACGGCCGCCTCGCGTTTTTCCAGTGCTACGGAGGAAGTGTCAACGCCCCTAAAAAGAATCAAATCCCACAAGGACAAAAGATGCCATGTAGTTTAGAGTAGCAAAAGAAAGGTATGAATTTTTCGGTGATTGATGTCAAATGAATCATCAAATTCTAGTGAAAACTGGTTTCTTATCTCGATACGAGTACTCAAAACAATCAAAATAGAATGGCTTTAAGATCAAAACTAATATTTACAACAGAATTCAAAAGTACCTATATTACAACAGTTATTCGACTGCGGCGATAGTTGATATGTATGGTTTGTAGTATGTGCTCGTGGGAAAGAGAAGGTTTTGTGTTCAAGTAGTTTTATCAGATACCTCACGTTTTTCCTTCAGGCTTACACATCTTGTAAGTTTTATTTTCATTTCATTTCGTCTTGTTTCAGTTCACTTATTCATATTAGATCGCTTTTCTTTCTTTTCGTCAAAACAGATTGCAGCCGGTATTCCATAACTTGCCTTTTTCGAAAAAACCCAACCATCGCATATTAACTTTGAGCTTGATCAAAAGTACGCATCACATTTAAACCTGTACTCCCATCTGTGATCTCAATGAAAATCTACTCTCTTGTCTGTGTGTCTGTTCAAAGGCACATAACTTACGGCTCTTCTGGAAAGGGAAAGACTCAATTACGTCTCCTGTTTCCCCCTACACTTCTTTAGTGCTCTAACCGCCTCCTGCGTGCTTTGCAATAGCACAGAGCACAGTCGAGGCTATTTATTTGATAAATATAGACACAGAGAGATCACTTTGTGTTGTCACCTATGCTAAGATTATGAAATATTGAAACAAATTTTAAATTCACTTCACGGCACCCGTTGTTTTTTTCATGACAAAGAAATTAAGAATATGGGAGCGATCTTCGCAGTAATGAACACTACTTAAGCAGTGGTGGAAAAAAACCTGAAAAAAAAAAGAAAAAAAAAAAAAGAACCAGGACTGCATTAAAGTGTTTCGTGCTGGTCTGGGCTTTTTGTTTACTTTTTTTTTAAGCTCTATTTTCACTACTGTTCAAGTAGTGTTCATTGTAGCGAAGATTGCTCTCGTATTCATTTCATTATCCGCAGTTCACATAGACGATTTTATATAATCTTACAGTCAAATAAATTTTGTGAGTTACTTACATTGTACATTTAGATATCCTGGAGATGATGTTATGTTGCCAACACTATTAATAATCACACATCTGTATTGTCCCGAATCCGATCGATGAACATCTGTGATTGTCAAATTGTGCTTGTTGTTCAGTGACGACGCTGTTAGTCGTTGATTTACTGTTATGTTCAGTTTTTCCTCGTTCTTCGTCCAAGTAACTCCTGGTGAAGGATTTCCATCTACCATACAACTAAACACAACATGTTCTCCCTCAACTATGGTGACATCCTTTGGATTTTCCACGATTTCAGGTGCAACTTGGAATTTAAAAACAGAAGTGTTACGTTCTGTTAACTCAAATAAATGAATTTCAAAAGCTACCGGCTTATTTCTTTGTATATATCAAAGTCCTCGTCATTTTTTTGTTGTTTCTTTGGATTGTCAAAGCATGAATCTTAACCAAAGTGAAAGACTATAGGATTATTTCAATTCTTCTTATTTTTATTTTTATGCTTATCTTGTATATATTTCATCATCTAACTAACGATAAATGAGAAAACATAATTTTTTATTTCTGCCAAGACCCAGGAATGCTATGTCATCAGTGATAATGAGCGATGTTTAACGAAAAGTTCTAACATCTATGGCGTCCTTGTCGACATTCAGATGAAGCTGACAAGATTGATAGCACAACAATCTGCCTTCTCACCACGAAACTGCCGAAAATTACCCAAATACGGGACCGAACGAGATTTCTTGAAGAATAGGAAAAAATTACGCAACAGGGAATTGAAATAACAAGCCAGATATCTGTTTGTGAATACTGGGCGCACATTCAACTTTCGGCCCCAAACATTTCGTTTCTTTTGCACAAGTTGCGACACCAATGATATCATAAATTGTGTTAGTGTTCGTAGGTAAACGTTTGTGGTGAAAAAAAAAATGTCTGATTTATACTTGACATTAACTCAGTTTAAGATTTGAAAGGTGATTCCTGAGGTCGTTGTTTTCAACTCCTAGGAACCCATCGCTACTTCCCCCTTCACATTCATTTGTGCCAAATACCTTTTTAATCCTATCAACTGTACAGAATTTCTCCTTCCAAATTAGGAAAAAGACAGAAAAGAATTACTGGAGCACTTACACTGTACGTCGACTTTTGCAGGATTTGAGGAATAATTTCCGAGACCGTTCCTGGCAACACATCTGTAATTTCCGCTTTCCGATCTATTAATACTCGCTATAAACAGTGTCTCGTTGTCTCCTGTAAAAGGGATCCCTTGGTTGTTATTTATAGGAGATCCATCTTTGGTCCATGATAGTGTTGGTGGTGGATTTCCGGTCGCGTTACAAAATAAGGTCATGGGGAGTCCTTCTTCTACTGTAAAATTCTTAGGATGCGTAATAATTTCAGGCTGATCTGAAAAAAAATTGATAGCGAAAATGAATAGATAAATAAACCAGAAGCATAACCGTAAGCATTTCTACGATCGATCAAATAATTTTTTATTCCTTTTTTTTTTTCCTGAGAGAGCTATATCTTATTTAAGAGACCTGTCTTCTTTACTGAGTAAACTAGAAACAGCTTGTCGTTCGCTCTGACAGAATCAGGCCCTATCTGGCATCCAAAGGTAACGTATCTCATTCGTAAAAGGTAATGCAGGTAATTGTCTTTCCATCTCTGGGATTACGAGAGACTGTTCGGACCCCTATATTAGAATGTAGTAAAACAACCCGGAAATTTACATTACGCCCAAATCTGTTTATTTATTATTATAATTTTTTTTGTTCAACTGCATTTCTCTCGACCTGAAGTTGGTCGATACCTTATCGATAACGCTAAAAAATTCAGGTCTTTGAGATTGGGTATAGCTCGACTATAGTACGATTTCATGACTTAGAAAAACAAACTTATTCTGTACTTACAAAGCACGTTTATCACAGAGGTGTCAGAAGTGTCATTTCCGACCCTGTTTTTTACTAAACATCGGTAATCTCCACTGTCTCCTCTGTTCACATTTGTTATTGTCAATTCTTGAGAGTCGTTGGACAAACTGATCCTGGAGTTCTCATTTGCTGTTATGACAGATCCATCAAACGTCCAGGATATGTGCAGTATAGGGCTTCCTGTAGCGTTGCAATACAACTTGACGGTGTCTCCTTCTTCAGGGGCAGCACTTTTTGGCTGAGTAAGGATGGAAGGCTTTACTGTATTGGGGAAAACAGAAAAGAAACTAAGTCTGAAGCACTCCACTATGTTTTCAATGTTGTAAACAGTCTACATTTCCGCTAAATTAATCGTTGACGAAATTTCTCATAGACTTCATAGGAAGTCACGAGGTGCTTTAAGATTATGCAACCCTGAAAAAATAAAAATAAATAGTAACATTTCTGCTCTGATCAAACCTAAAGGAAATTATTTTACTTTTCTAAGGTATACATTATGTATATTCACCCGGTACTGGGACAAATTACAATTTGTCACAGAATAGAAGAAAAAAACATCCTTCATCTTAAAAATGTTTAAAAGTTTTATGGGCAACGGAAACGGTTACAGGCAATGATTATTGGTAATTCCAGTAGGTTGTAACCGTCTCTGAGAGTAGCTTATCATCTATCTCATTAAAAATTGGGATGTCCCAGCACACATCAAGAAGTCACCGTTACCAATAATCAGTAACTCGGTATTCCTGCGCACACCTGCGTACACAGCTGCCTATCTCTTTGATATTCACTTTATAGACAGCCCTAGAACCTCGTAAGAAATCTTGCTCTCGGTATCCGGTGATTTCACATTTCTTTTAATTAGACCTAAAAAACTGTGTTCATTTCAAGTCTGTGTGGAGAAATCCCAGCTTATGGCTGTCCTACCCTAAAACACGGGTTAATGAGAATTTGTCAACAGCTCTTACACACCTTCGACAATGATAGATGTCGAGTCTGATGAACTGTTAACCATATTTGTGACATTGCAAGTGTAATTCCCACTATCAGCCACGATAGCTGTGCTGATCGACAACTGTATGAGGCTCTCATTGAAGTGCAGAATATCCAATCGGGAGTTGTTTATCACTTTCGTGGAGTTTGTTGAAATCACCTCTCCATCTTTTATCCACTGCACCTCAGTCACAGGCGGTAGGGCCTTGTGCCGACATGTTACCTTGATATCGTCCCCCTTAGCCACAATCTTCTCTTTATCACCATCGATTATAACTTCTGGATCAACTAAATATAATTTAATGATTGTAATTGTATCATCATCATGGGCTTTTATTTATTTATTTTTTATCTTATGTGTATAGATGATATAACTTTCCGAGCGTAATAAGTATCATGTAAAAAATCATACACAAGAAGTTATGAGTCTGCAAATTCTAATAAGAGGTTTTCTGGATTATGCCGAAGTTGGGAAAATAATATACATGTGGACTGAAAGGTTTATGAAGGAACAAGAACAAGAAATGGAGCAGCAAAGAGAGAAAATATGTCAATTACAGAGTAAAATTTCAGTGGATAATATTGATGTATTGGCGCCAGTGGCCAACATATACATTCATCCATCGAAGTACAAAATAACTTTTTAAATTAAGCAACTGAGTAGTTAAAGACAAATCCAGAGCAAATTCGCAAACCACAAAGATTTGTAGGGTTTGTAAAAATAATAACCTGAATTACTTACGGACAACAATTAGAAAAAGAAAACCAACCAACAAACCAAATAAAAGAATATTCCACACTCGCACGTTTCACAGAAAAACTACTGTTGGACTTACAATGTACTGTTAGGGTTGCTGAAGATGAAGTCACAGTATCCAAACTGTTATTAGCAACACATTTGTATTGTCCTGCATCCGATTGTTGAACATTTGATATGATCAATCGGTGGTTTCCATTATTGGAAGAGACTCTAAGTCGCGCATGTTCAGCCACATTCAATTCCACTCCATTTTTTTCCCAAGCAACATCGGGTGTAGGGTACCCTGCTACTACGCAATTGAACACAGCAGTTTGTCCTTCCACTTCCGTGGTATCCCTTGGAGATTGGGAGATTTCAGGGGCAACTATCAATATAAATAATGAAAAATAAATTATGTTTCCTACAAAATCAAACATAATTTACTAAATGTAGTGCGACATTGTGGTTAGAGCGCTATATCACATAAGAAAGCAAATGAAACCGACTTTCCTAAACATTCTTTACCAACGATGAATTTTAAGTATACAACGATTTATATTTCGATCGATCCATATTTTTTAGTCGTGTCGTAAACCATAGTTGAACTCACATCGCACAGTCACAATGGCAACATTGGAGGTAGCATTTCCAACCTTGTTGCTCGCCACACACCGGTATGCTCCGTTGTCTTTCCTGCTCACATTCCTTATTGTCAAATGCTCTTTGTCTGTTGACAAACGGATCCGTACATCTTCATTTGGATTTATAGAAGATCCATTTTTCGTCCATGATATTGTCAAAGAGCTTCCAGTAGCGTTGCAAAAGAAAGTCAAGTTCTCTCCTTCTTTGACCGGATCAGCTTGTGGGTGCGTCTCGATAGCAGGCGTCACTGTAGAAATGCAAGAAAGTATTTTATACTTAAAATGTTTATCTATCATTCTTTTTTTTTTTTATATTCAAACAGTTTAAATAGGTGTTATTGAGCCGGTTCTTAAGCACATAACTAACAACTAGTTGGGGTCCGAAATGTAGGAATGTAAAGCACTATATCTTTTCGCTGGAGAATAAACCAGTAATAAAGATGCTACTATTTTAATATCAGTACGACATTTTACAAAATGTTTGCCCCAAAGACTCGATATATGCTATTTTCTGAGTCAAATTGAAGTCAGAGGGGTTACAAAAGAATATGATTTTACACGACTAAAAGGCTCCGTGACCATAGAGATGGAGCCCCTCATATCGGTCCTTAACGACCAAAAGGCAAACAAACAAACAAACTAAAAAAAAACAACAAAAAAACAAAACAAATACCAAAACAAATACAAAATCCAAAAAAAACAACCAAAGAAACTAACGAATAAACAAACAATGCAAATCTCTTGGGTTGCTGATTCTTAATCCTAAATGAGATAACTAACGCCGAGTGATTGCTTTGGGGAATTGCATTTTTGTGTTCATTTATAGTGAAACATACCTTGAACAATAATCGATGTCCAATTCGAGGAACTATCAACAACATTTTTGACATTACAAGTATAATTTCCGGCATCTTCTAAGGAAACTGTGGTGATTAACAACTGAGCTTGGCTTTCATTATGATGTGAAATAGTCGCTCTTGACCCATTCAAGGGAACGGGGAGGGTTGATGCAATCACATTCCCATAATTTAGCCACTGCACTTCAGACACGGGAGGCAAGGCGTTAAACCTGCATGTGAGCTGTAAATCTGTGCTGTTGGCTACATAATGTATTTGATCTCCGTCAATTGTCACCTCTGGTGCAACTGAAATTTGATAAAATTTTATAGAATCATTTTTCTTTAATTTTTACAGTTAGAGTTAAATACGGAATAACGGTATATTACCTACGTCCTTTATAAACGTATGAACTGAGAAGGAGGAAAGGAGGATGTGAGAGCTGGAAGGTGAATTTGACGATGCTGTGAAAATATGTTTCCTTTAATGCTCAACACACATCTTTACAGAATCGCCATCCAAAACTCAGATGTCAACTTATTTTGGTCCGTTTTAAAATCCTTAGCAATGTACCACCAAAGGTTGACTGGCTTTACGAAAACCTGTATCTATGGTATTTGTGGACAACAACGCTGAAGACACAATTAAACATTCAGTAATGCAATGCTTCGGAGATAAACTACTTTTACACTCACATTGCACTGTAAGAGTCGAAGGAAATGACTTAGAGGTCTGCAAACTGTTATTAGTGACACATCTGTATTGTCCTGCATCTGACCGTTGAACATCTGTTATTTTCAAAGTGTGATTTCCGTCCCTGGAAGAGACACTTAATTGTGAATTTGCTGTTACATTCAATTCGACTCCATTCTTTGTCCAAGCAACAGTAGGTGTGGGGTATCCAGCCACCAAGCATCTTAATACAACGGTTTGTCCTTCTATTTTCGTGACATTAATCGGAGGTTCGGAGATTTCAGGCCCAACTGATATATAAAAGAGAGCATAACAAAATGAATAAATAAACACATAAGAATTGCAAGTCACTGCAATATCAACCTATTTCGCGAAATATTGCAACACTTGTGACTAAAAAAACAATTTTTTTTTAGAAAAACATTTCGCCTCGTTAAATAAACCTATCAAATTCTTATGGAGACTAGCTCCTTTTCCGATACGAATAATAATAAAAAAAAAACGAAAGAGGATGGTCAGCATCAAAACAAATGTTTACAATGGAATTCAAAAGCACCTAAGCAATTATACTAAAACAATGAATATTGGCCTTCGGTATAATTATTAATTATGGTTTAGAGCATGCATGTCCTTGTGGGAAAGGAATGATTTTGTGTTCAAGTAGTTTTATCGAGTACCTCACGTTTTTCCTTCAATTTTCGCACATCTTGAAAGTTCTACTTTCATTTCATTTCTTCTTATTTCGGTTCCTTTATTTATATGAGTATTAGATAGTTTTCTTTTTATTCAAACCAGATTACAGCCGGTATTCAAAATTGGAGGTTTCAGGAATAAAAACCTTTGGAATGAACATGTCGACTCCAACCTTTATTCAAAACCCTTCCTTTACTTTTTTGTAAAATCCATGCATCGCATATTAATTTTGAGTTTTATCACGCGTCACATAAGCCCGCGCTCCCATCTGTGATCTCAATGAAATCCTATTCACCTGCCGGTGTGTATGTCCGTGGCACATAACTTACAGATTTTTTGGCAAGGAAAAGACTCGACTACGCCTCGTGTTTCCCCCTACACTTCTTTCGTGCTCTAGCCGCTTCCTGCGTGCCTTATAACAGAACAGAGCACAGTCGAGGCTATTTCGTTTATTAAATATCAACACAAAGTGACATATTTGTGTTTTCACTCATGCTAAGATGATGAAATATTGAAACAAATTTAAAATTCACTTAAACAACCATTCAACCGAGCACCTGTTGTTATTGTTGTTGTTTTTTTTATGAAGAAATTTTGAATATGGAAGCAATCTTCGTAGCAATGCACACTACTTGAGCGGTAGTGAAAATAAAGTCTGAAAGTAGTGTGCATTGCTGCAAAGTTCGCTTCCATATTCATCTATTTATCCGCAGTTCACATAGATGATTTTCACATAATTTTATAATCAGAGAAATTTTATAAGTTACTTACATTGTACTTTTAGATTCCCTGGAGATGATGTTAGATTGCCAACATCATTAATAATCACACATCTGTATTGTCCCGAATCCGATCGATGAACATCTGGGATTGTCAAACTGTGATTGTTGTTCAGTGACGACGCTGTTAGTCGTGGATTTGTTGTGATGTTCAGTTTTTCCTCGTTCTTCGTCCAAGTGACTCTTGGTGAAGGATTTCCATCTACCACGCAACTAAACACAACATATTCTCCCTCAACTATGGTGGCATCCTTTGGATTTTCTACGATTTCAGGTGCAACTTGGAATTTAAAAAACACAACTGTTATACTCCTTAACTCAAATCAGTGAATTTCAAAAGCTACAGGATCATTCCTTAGCATATCTCAAAGTCCTCGTCATTTTTTTGTTTTTGTTTTTTAGATTTGTCAAAACATAGATTTTTACTGATGTAAAAGACTATAGCGTTATTTTAATTCTTCTTCTTCTTCTTCTTTTTTTTTTTGTTTCATGCTCATCGATACGTGTATATTTCATATTCTAACTAAAGATAATTTAGAAAAGAATGTTTTGTAATTTCATCTGTGATAATGAGCGATCTTTAACGAAAAATTCTAACATCTCCTCTTCCGTCCTTTTCGACATTCAGATGAAGCTGACAAGATAGATGGCACCATAATCTACCGAAAATTAACCAAATACAGGATCAAATGAGATTTCTTGAAGGGGGAAAAAGTACTTAGCAGAGAACTGAAATAGCAAGCCAGATATTTGTTTGTGAATACTGTGCGCGTGCATTCAACTTTCGGTCCTGAACAACTCTTCGCAACATATTTGTGAAAACTCAAAACATGAAGATAAATATTGAATTCAGTTCTCGAAAGTAAACGTTTCTGTTAAAAACATGCCTGATTTATATTTGACATTAACTCAGTCTAAGATTTGAATGATGGTTCCCAAGGTTGTTGCTTCCAACTCTTCAGAAATTCTCCTTCGAAATAAGGCAAAGTTAAAAAGGAATTGATGGAGCACTTACACTGTACGTCGACTTTTGCAGCATTTGAAGTATCATCTCCAAGGCTGTTCCTGGTAACACATCTGTAATTTCCACTTTCTGATCTGTTAATATTCGCTATAGACAGTGTCTCATTGTCTCCTGTGAAAATTATCCCTTGGTTGTTATTTATAGGAGATCCATCTTTGGTCCATGATAGAGTTGGTGGTGGATTTCCGGTCGCGTTACAAAATAAGGTCATGGGGAGTCCTTCATCTATTGTAAAGTTCTTAGGATGCGTAATAATTTCAGGCTGATCTGAAAAAAAAAATTGATAGCGAAAATGAATAGATAAATAAACCAGAAGCATAACCTTAAGCAGTTCTACGATCGATCAAATAATTTTTTACTCCTTTTTTTTTCCTGAGAGAGTTATATCTTATTTAAAAGATCTGTCTTATTTACTGAGTAGACTAGAAACAGCTTGTCGTTCACTCTGACAGAATCAGGCCCTATCTGGCCACCAAATGAACGTATCTCATTTGTAAAAGGTAATGCAGGTAATTGTTTTTCCATCTCTGGGATTACGAGGGACTGTTTGGACCCCTATATTAGAATGTAGTAAAACAACCCGGAAATTTACATTACGCCTAAATCTGTTTATTTATTATTTATTTTTTTTTTTTGTTCAACTGCATTTCTCTCGACCTGAAGTTGGTCTATACCTTATCGATAACGCTAAAAAAGTCAGGTCTTTGAGATTGGGTATAGCTCGACTATAGTTCGATTTCATGACTTAGAAAAACAAACTTATTCTGTACTTACAAAGCACGTTTATCACAGAGGGGTCAGAGGTGTCATTTCCAACCCTGTTTTTCACTAAACATCGGTAATCTCCACTGTCTCCTCTGTTCACATTTGTTATTGTCAATTCTTGAGAATCGTTGGATAAACTGATCCTGGAGTTCTCATTTGCTGTTATAACAGATCCATCAAACGTCCAGGATATGTGTAGTATAGGGCTTCCTGTAGCGTTGCAATACAACTTGACGGTGTCTCCTTCTTCAGGGGCAGCACTCTTTGGCTGAGTAATGATGGAAGGCTTTACTGTATT